TGCCCTCATTTTTTATTTTTTTTGTTCTCTCCCCTCCCCTCCTCCCCCTACCCTGCCTCTAATTTAAATAATTTGTGACAGTGATTTGATATAAATTTATATAATTCAAAATAATCATTTTTACTTTTATTATTATTATTGTTATCATTATGTTTCACTTTCAATCACGACAAAATTTTTTTTTTGTGTGCCTGCTTGTTGTAAAAGTTTTTCCAAACATTCATTTCAAGTTTCTACCGTGTTTAAATGTTTTAATGTCGGTTTGTTGGTTTTTTTTCTTTTTTTCAAATCAAACGAATTCTTGTTTGTTGTATGTTTTCCCGAGTACATTTTAATTCGTATCCCCTGAATTAAATTTAAAACTCAAATTCATTCATACCGAAATAATTTAATAAGATAATATGTAGTAAAACAAACAACAAACGACATTATTCACAATTAAAAATAGCGCAACAAAATTTTTGTATACAAACAACCGAAAAATAATATCAAGTTAATCTTTATATCAATCTCATCTTATTATCATTCTTATTATTATCATTATCATTCGATATAATAAATCGGTAAAAATATTAAATTTACGACATATTATAATTATAATAATATAATATATACTGAAACGTGCCAATATACGCATTAAAAACATTTATATGAATTTGTTCTATTTCCTTTGTAAGCACGACGGTTTTTCCAAAACTTAAATTAGGAAATCTAAGAATGAGTCACTTGCCTATTGTAATCAAACGTACCGGGGGCACCTTCTAAACCTAAATTATTTACGACCGTTTAATTATTTATTCATTTAAATTCTTGCGGATCATTCAAGTGTCAATATTAGAAAAAAAATTATGTCGCACCTATGAATCAAAAAAATATCGATTGCCCTTTGAACTCGTATACAATTTAAACTTATTAAACAATAATGATAATAAATAAATAAAAAATTTATATAAATATATTTTCATCGAACGTCAAGTTTTATTATTTTATGCAATATTTCGATTCCTTTCGGGCACGCAGATTGGAAAAGTAGATTATTCGCGAAATAAATTAAAAAATTAAACGAAAAGAAAATTTTATATAAGAAAAAAAATGAAGTCACCGAAAAATTCACACGGGAAGAGGAGGGGGAGAGGGAGGGAAGGGTCACACCCTGGAATCCTTGACACTATTCGAAAACGACGAAATTAATAAGTCAATAAAACGCGCCGTGTAATCCATTGTAAACGGTTTTATTTGGTGTCTCTCTCTCTCCCTCTCTCTCTCTCTCTCTCTCTCTCTCTCTCTCTCTCTCTCTCTCTCTCTCTCTCTCTCTCACATTACAATCCACGTCAAATTTTAAATATAATTTAAATTATAACAACGACAACAACAACAACGCATATCATATAACAAACGAATAAAAAAAAAATTTTCTTTCTTAAGCAAACAACTGACAAGTTTAAACCTTTTTTTTTTGTAATGGAGCCTAAAAAAAATCTAATATTTATTGTTAAAATCACACATGTTAATAATTTATTTATTTATGTGTGGACTCTGTGAGAATTTCCTTGAAAAATTTTTCTTTTTTCAAATACTCCGTTTACAAAAAAAAATAAATAAATAAATAAATAAATTCAAAGAAAACATAATAAAAGTCGACCTTGATTTAAAACTAAATTAAGAGAAAACGTCGAGGAAAATTTTTTTTTTTTT